TAGCAGATTTTTTTCCAAAGTATTGATCACTTTTGCTGAATTTTTTTTTCTCTTCTTCCTTTCTTCTTTTTAAAATTCTTATAAGGGATTACTCTGCCAGGGGAAAATTTAAGAGATATGAAAAGAAAAGGTATCAATAAAAATCTCTTGTTTAAAAAAATGTTTTTTAATTGAATGGAATTGATTTCTCTAATTATCACTGCTGACATTCAGATTAAGAGCAACCTTTGGGCTTCATTTGGGGTCATCCTTTTGCATCAATGTATTTCCGAGCATTTTAGGATGCTTGGGAAGTAAAAGCATCTAGGCCTTTTAAGCAGAAGCAGGCCTAACAAGCTTTTGTGGGACTTTACTCTCTTTTTCTGTCTTGAACCATTAATGTTGTTAGGAAGAGCATACTACTGTATGTTATAGAAAAGTAGCTTCAGAACATAAATGTTATTTCAGATTTAAATTTTAAAAGTTCCCAGTTTTCACTATCACTGTTACTATAGACTTCATTATAAATCAAACCAAATCTGTAAGGAATTTATATCCAAAAGGCCACTCCTTGTCAGAGTGGCAGATGGTTGCCATAATTAGATCACAGCTATGTTTTTACCTTTTCAAAAAGGAAATAAATAATGCAGCTAAAAACAGTTTCCAAAATCAGGAATAGTTTTTTCTTGCTGCCCGGTTTTAGCTTCTCAGCATCTTTTCTAAAACCCTGATCAGCAAAGCTCAAGTGGTGAGTCCAATGGTGTCTATGACAGCTTGTATAATGTTGAGGCCTGGAAGAGGAAGAAATGAGTGCCTGCCATAAATCTGAATTAAATTCCACCCTCCCTGTAGAACTGAAACACTTCCCCTCAGGGTGAATCCACATAGGCTTATTGGGTTACATGTTTGTTTTATTAATTTTCAATTTAAATTGCAGTCTGCAGTGAGGGACGCTGAGGCCAGCTGGAGCCGAGATATATGAGTCTTAAGTTATTGCTTCTTTTTTATCTCTCCCACACTGCGTTCCTCTTTCCTTTCTGCTCATACTTCTACAGGTGGATCTTGATTTAAGCAAACTTAAGATACACAAATTCATAAGGAGTATTATTATCATTTGCTCTACAAGAGAATTTTTAGTTTTGACAGATTCAACATAGGATCCCTTTAAAAAGCACACTTACTTATTGTACTTAAAACATGTCTCAACATGGAGTTAAAATTGTGTAATTGTATAACTAATACTATGTTTATTACCACTATAGCAATGATAGTGCTCACATTTGCATAGCCTTTCCATTCTGTTAGTCAATAAAATCTCTGTTTAGTGTTATGGTTTTATTTTTTTGTTTGTTTCTTTGTTTCTTTGAAGCAATTGGGGTTAAGTGATTTGCCCAGAGTCATACAGCTAATAAGTGCCTGAGGCCAGATTTGAACTCAGGTCCTCCTGACTCCAGGGCCAGTGCTCTATCCACTGCCACCTAGCTGTCCTTGTTTAATGTTGTGTTGACAAAGCCCATGCTTAGGAGCATTTTGAGTTCGGTGTAAATATCTTTGTGAATGTTACTCTAACACTGGACATGGTGGTGCCTACTAAGGACCTTGAGGCTGCCAGATGGAGCTAAAGGTTCTAGTTGATGTCCTCACAAAGTTTAGCATCAGCGCGGTCGAGACCCTGTGAATGAAGGATCACTAGATTGTCTAAGGAATTGCAAATCAGCTTAGGTCAGAAATGGAATAGGTCAAGCCTTCCATTGCTCATCAATAGTGGGATAAGGGGCCATGAGTAGCCCTTGAATTCTAGCCTGGGAGAAATGGGAGAACTAGTTGTAACATTTTTTTAGAAAATTACTCTCACCATGTCCTGCTTTAGATTTAAAGCAATCTAATTAACATCATGTGGTTTTGATATTTTGACCTTACAAATAATAGTTTGTTTTCAAATTACCAGTCATTAAATTTTTTAGCAGCCTTTACCCTACTTGCAGTAGCAAAAAGTCCCATCCCCTGTGGAAAAACACCACAATGCTAGATTGTGTCCTTTTCTCTTAATTGGGAGCATCAATAGTATATTATGAGAAAGTACTTCTTTCCTCCAGCTACTCCACTTCCTAGGAAGGTAAATGAAAAATGACCGTTTTTGCTAACCAGCCTACTGAAGAATGACCAGTTCAATCAAAGTCTTGGGTGCTTACTTTTTTATGAGTCTGTATATTTATGTATACAGTAAGGAAGCATCATATGGTGTGTGTGTGTGTGTGTGTGTGTGTGTGTGTGTGTGTGTTTAGGGAGTTGCTTATTTCTAAAAATGTGTACTTATAAATAAATAGCAAAATGAAAATAGAAAATTCCATATATTCTATAAAATCTTTCCCAGGGATTTATTCCTTCAAGACTTATGATTGTTCCAGGGTTCTCTCTTTTTCTTCCCCTCCCTCTTTCCTTAATCTTTTGTCACAGACATTACATTTAACATCAGAGAGCTTTCAGAATTTAGTATGCCTTAGATATATCCATCCTTATAAACCATATGTGAGCATCACTTCTCTCTACTGTATTTGGCCATTTCCTATATAATTTAGATAACAGTTTGGAAGCACTTAGCAATGTCCGTTGAATTAGTGCAGTATCAGCATTTGAGTTACTGATGTTCAATAATTACACGTCCGTGTTATAAGCTGGATAATTAGGAAGTACTTTGGAGACCTGGATCCTAGCAAAATAAGGCTGGAGCTCACTGTCAAGGCCCAAAGGTCATTCCAGGGGCGTAGTCCGATTTTAAAGTCAGGAGGGGGTAGAGATGAGAACCTAGACAAAGACCACATGGCATGGAGATGGCTAGGCACAAAATACATTTAGAAAGGTATGGAGCTGTTAGACTGTGAAGGGCCTTGAATAATAGGCAAAAAAAAAAAGTTTGAAATTATTAAGATAATTAGCTAAGGTAGGAAATAAAGGTTAATATCCTTCCTTGTGACAGTATGTCTAGAGGTATTTGATAGCCATATTGTCATGCGTGAGTATTTGCTAAAGAGACAGCAAGAGCGTTCGATTTATAGTGTGAAAATTTTGGATTTGCCTCTGGCTGTGCAGCTCACTACCTGTGTGACCCTGGGCAAGTCCCTCCAGCTCCTGGCCCATGGCTCTGCACCCATGAGGTCTCTGTCTAGGCTTTCATTTCCACCTCTTCCCTATTATAAAATCAGACTCTACTTCAGTAACCACTTTGGGCTTGTTAGATGAGCTTCCACCTTATTTTATTGAGATCCAGGCCTTCAGAGTACTCTCTGGCCATCTCTACACCCTGTCTCCATTTCTAACCCACTCCTGATTTCCAGCTCCTCTTTATGTTGTCTCCCCTAGCCCACCTTAGAATGCAAGCTTCTTGAGCAAAACAACTGTCTGGCTTGCTTGTAGTAGAGTGACTAGTAAGTGCCATATCTATCTATCCATCCTTCTCTCTATTCATCCTTCAGTTCTCTCTGTCTGTCTATATCCATTCTATCTGCCTACCTACCTACCATCCTACCTACCTATCCATTCTCTATCCATTCTATCTATCATTCTATCTGCCTTCCTACCTACTTATCCATTCTCCATCCATTCTATCTATCATTCTATCTGCCTTCCTACCTACCTATCCATTCTCCATCCATTCTATCTATCATTCTATCTGCCTACCTACCTATCTTCTTATCTACATATCCATTCTCCTTCCATTCTATCTATCCATTGTCTATCTCTCCACCCATTCTATCTTTCCATTCTGTCTATATGTTTATACATCTCAACCTATTCCCCTCCAAACACGCTGTACTGTAGCCAAACAACACTACTTTGTCTACCTATCATCTCTATCTGCTATATTCTATCTTTAAACCCCAGCCCGAATGACACTTCTTCCATGAAGCTCTCACTGATCCATCCCCACAGGCAGACATGAACTTTCCCTCACATCCTGTATAGTATTTTATTTTGTAATCTTCTAATGTACTTGTCAGGTAATATTGTGTATTCGAATTATTGGTGTATGTGTGCATGCATTCTCCTATTACACTATAAGCACCATAAAAATCTATGTCTTGTTTAAACTTTTATTCTACCCCAGTGCTGAGCACAGTACTCTCTATATGGTAGTTTTTTGCATTGATTGAATGAATGAATGAGTGAATGAATGCCAAAGGGATAGTCAACAAACATTTACTAACACCTAAATCGTGCCAAGCAGTGGAGATACAAATACCAAAAAAAAAAAATAGACAGTCTCTGCCCTCAAGGAACTTACAATCTAATGTGGGGAAACCACATACAAAAGGTGGGAGAGGGGTGGTTTGGGGTTGGTGGGCCTGTGGGAAGGTTCCCTCTGTGGGAGCATAGCATGTGGTATAGTTGGAAAAGTCCCAGAGTAGTGGGGCCAGGTGAGAATTGAGATATTCTCACCTAGGTTCCTTCCTCCAATGGAGGTTTTAGAGTTCATGGCTCTATCCTCCAATCAGAGGGGCCAAGGTAGTAATGATATGGAGAATCAAGGCTGATTGGGTGATAATAATTATTTACGTATAGCTGATAACCACTGCATCTCCAGCACTAACTCTTGTGCATGATGATTGAAAAGTTAAATCTCACTGAGCATAGACAGACATATGTCTGTCATCCCTCCTAGCTGAGGAGGCTAAGGCCGCTTGAGGATTGAGCTCAGGAGTTCTGAGCTGGGGTAGGTCTGAGGCCTAGGAGGACACCAATTTTGGCACCAAAATGGTGAGCCCTGTGAGCAGGCAATCACTAGGCTGCCTAATGAGGGGTGAACCAAACCAGGTCAGAAAACTTCCATGCTGATGAGCAGCGGGATCAGGCCTATGACTGTCTGCTCTATTTCCATCCCAAGACAAGACAGGGAGAATCTTTCCCCCCTTCCCCAGAAGGTGAGACCTCTGCTATGATAACTTGAGTTACCCTGACCTCAACACATATCCTGTAATTTGTAATGGTTAAAGACTAATCTTAGTTGTATTTTCTGTTTTTAGTGGCAGAATTAAGAAAACTCTTTGAGCCAAAGAAAAAAGAAGTTTTAGAAATGAAGAGGTAAGATATTTGTGGCTTTTCAACCAAGAGGTTGACTATCTGGACACAGGTTTACTTCTTGCTTGGTGTATATTACTCATTATGCTTTTCTGGGTATATTTCACAGAAAAGAACGCATTGCCAGACGCTTGGAAGGAATTGAAAATGATTCGCAGCCCCTACTTTTGCAGAGCTGTACCGGCTTAGTTACCCACCGATTACTAGAAGAAGACACTCCCAGATATACGCGAGCCACAGACCCTTATAGCCCTCATATTGGTAAGCGTTGGCTCTCCATCAGATCACGCAGCACACCACCGCCTTGTTCTTATGCCGCTGAAGAATGAAGTGCTTTGCTTTAAGGGTGTCTCCAAGACAAATAAAGCTCACCCCCCCTTAGCTAACAAAACTTATAATTTTTCTCTATCCATTTTTAATCAAAATCTAAGAGATATCAGGGTCAGAGTGATAAGGGATAGCAAGGTTCAGTGGAAAGGGTTTGGGGCCAAGAGGCCTGGATTCAAACACAGCCCCTGTCCACTACCTCTGTGACCTTGGGGAAGTTATCCATCAGTAAAATGAGTGGGTTGGATGAGGTCCGGTTCTAAATCTGTGATCCTGTGATTTGGATTTTTTTTTAACATCTTAAATATAGAATGCATTTACTCTTGTGTGCTCAGCAATGTAGAGATTTAATGACTATAAATCATTTTACATTCATTTTGGATAGATTTTATATTATTCATATATCTATTCTTAAGCCCAATGTAAGCTCCTTGAAGGCAGAAACATATCTTTTGTTTGGTTTTGTTTTTATTTTTTGTCTAACAAGTACCTAACGCAGTGCCTGGCATGTTTTACATGCTTAATAACTGTTTGTTAAACTGAATTACACTATGATTTAGATTTTGAAGAAAGTTCCTAGGTCACCTAATTTAACCTCCTCATCATATAGATGAAGAAACTAAGGCCAAAAGCTTAAGTGACTTACCTAAGGTCACGCAGGGAATAAGTAGCATAGAATTGATTAAAACCATACTGACACTGGAGTTCAAACTTATACACAGTTTTATTTGTTGCACTCATTGTTTTACTCTCCCGTTTTTTCTTTTGAAAGGATGTTATATCATTTTATTTTTGGGGGAGAGAAGAGGCAGTTAGGATTAGGTGATTTGCCCAGGGTCATACAACTAGTAAGTATCTTAGGCTGGATTTGAATTCAGGTCCTCCTGACTCCAGCACTGGTGTTCTATCCACTATGCAACCTAGCCACCCCAGATGTATCATTTTAGAAATGTATTCTTAGGGATATAAAAAATAAGAGATGTCAATTAAAAATTCTAAAAAGAAATTAATTCTTTGAGTCATAATAGAAATTTTACTCACCAAAAAATAAACCCTATTTTTTCTCTGTGACTAGAAATTATTCAGAGGAATTTGCAGTCACCCACACACATTATAGGTAGTGGACTTATTATATGCTGAATTTAAATGGCAAAACAGGCCTTCCCGGATCTTCCTTCCCAACTGCCATGAGTCACATGTTTTCATTTTGGTTCATGTCTGCCTTGCTCTTTGGAATCTCCTTAATCTCTTCATGAGTTGTAAGGCAGGATGGGGGTTGGGGGGGGTGGTCTGGAGAGGGTACAAATGTGCCAGGAGCATGAGCTCATTCTCTTCTCTTCCTTGAAAGCCTGATCTTTATCCTGAAAACCTCCCCACTGAACTTGTAATGTGTATGTAATGATGGGGAAGGTGATAACTGGCAGTTACATGGCACTGCAACGTTTTCTTAACACTTCACGTATGTTGCCTCATTTGGTCCTTCCAAAAGCCCTACAAGATGAGATCTCCAGATGTTATTAATCTTGTTTCAAAATAAGGAAACTGAGGCTCAGAGAAATGAAATGGGCACCTAGCTAATGAGTTCAAAGGCAGGATTCAGGTCCTGGTTTTTTCTGGCTTCAAGTCCATCTCTCTTTCCATGACACCAGTCAGCCTATTTCTAGGTACAGAAACCTTTCAGAGGTTTGTACGTTTGGAGTGGTGCATATAGGCCAAAATGGAATGGGTAAGATTTAGGACTTAGAGGGATCTTAGCAATCATGAGTTCTAACCCACTCATTTTACAAAAAAGGAAACTGAGGTGTAGCCATGTGAGGTGATGGCCTCAAGGCCACATAAGTAGGATCCTGATCCAGGTTCTCCTATTTCCCATTCAGTTCTTTTTTGACCACACAGTATAGTTTTATCCATTGGAGTCTTCACCTGAAAATTCTTGGGTTGACAAGAGTACAGTGTTTTAGCTAAATCTGTTCAAATGAGCAAGCTGATATTTCCTTACACAGGGTTATGAGCTTGTGTTGTATATAGTAATTCTCCCTTAATTACAGCCCCTTGCCCATGAATTTTCCATTGTTTTTATGCTACATGTCTAACCTTATGACCCCGCAGGTCGATCCAATGAAGAGGAGGAAACTTCAGATTCTTCTGTAGAGAAGCAGCCTCGATCCCGATATTGCGTAGAAACTACAGCCCTCAATACAGACTCCTCCTATAGTCCAGTGACCATGGACACCCAGGGACTGGACTCCAAAGCTGAAAGAATAGCCAGATATAAGGCCGAAAGGAGGAGACAGCTCGCTGAAAAATATGGACTGACCCTGGATTCAGATGCAGACTCTGAATATCTATCACGTTACACTAAGACCAGAAAAGATCATGATGTCGAGAGGAGAGGAGGCAAAAGTGAGAAACAGGAGGAGGAGAGCAAAGACTTGACTTATCATTATTCTAGGATTGATACTGTGGAGCCCAGGAGCACCACTGCTGAATCCAAGGACTATGCCTTTCATGGGAATGATGGTGTTCTTGATAAGGAGGCGCTATTGAATGTGGAAAATCACAGAAGAGCACAAGAATTGAGTGCCACTGGCCAGATAGGCGACTTGCCACCTGTAGCTGATAGCTCTCCCTCCTTTTCATTTTCTGGACGAGAATCCTCATTCAGTGATGTGCCAAGGTCTCCCAAGCAGACCCGCAGGGTATCCCTTTCTTCACCTAAGCAGCCAGCATCACCTAGTCACTCACTTACTGACTCATCATTACATGGTGATTCCAGACCAAGGTAAGTGTACAATTCTGTGTCTTAGCCCACCCATCTTTCAAGTCTATCTGTCCTTCTACAACAGCTACCTTTTCTATATGACTTGGTTAGTGTTTCTTCTTTGTCTTTTCCTGCATGAATTTCTTTTTTTTTTAACATGTGTTTTTAAAACTTTGGGTTACAAATTTTCTCCCTTTCTCCCTTCCTCCCTCCCCACCCACCCTCATTGAAAAGGCAAGCATCTCAGTACAGGGTATAGATGTGTAGTCATGCAAAACACTTCCATAGTAGTCCGATTGTGGAAAAACTAAGTATTTTTCCCTTTATCCTATCCTAACCCCCATTTATTCTATTCTCTCTTTTGACCCTGTCCCTCCTCAGAAGTATTTGCTTTTGATTATCCCCTCCCCCAATCTGTCTTCCCCTCTATCAACCCCCTGCTCTCTTGTCCCCTTCCCCCCTTATTTTTCTGTAGGGTAAGATAGATTTCCATATCCCATTGTATATGTTATTCCCTCCTTAAGCCAAATCCTATGAGAATAAGATTCACTCATTCCCTCTCACCTTCCCCCATTTCCCCTCCACTGTAAAAGTCTTTTCTTGTCTGTTTCATGTGAGATATATTAGCTCATTCTACTTCTCCCTTTCTCCTTCTCCCAGTATAATCCTCTCTCACCCCTTTATTTTATTTTCCAGATATCACCCCTTCATCTTCAACTCACCTGTGCCCTCTATCTATCTATCTATCTATACATACATGTAATTTTTTTCCCTCCCACTACCCTAATACTGACAAAGGACTCATGAGTTACAAATATCATCTTTCCCTGCAGGAATATAAATAGTTCAACCTTAGTAAGTCTCTTTTGACTTCTCTTTCCTATTTACCTCTTCCATGTTTCACTTGAGTCTTGTATTTGAAGGTCAAATTTTCTATTCAGCTCTGGTCTTTTCCACAGGAATGCTTGAAAGTCCTCTATTTCATTGAATGACCATTTTTTACCCTGAAGGATTCCTGCAAGAATTTCTTCATTAATATACATAAAGGCTATTTTTCTAAATATTATCACTGTGTACTAAAAGAGACTCTATGGGGGAGGGGGAGTGTTATCTTTTGTTCTAGAATAATGATGAAGTAACAGGCTTGAACAAGAATCTTTCAAAGGAAGTCCTATTATGGACTCTACTTCAGAGCAATATCACTTTGTCTTTAGTTTCCTTTCCTAAATCCTCTCCTCCCTCTTTTTTGGGAGGTGGGAGGGATTTGTAAGTACATGATTTTACCAAGGACTTTTTAGCACTTGTAAGAAGAGGCTACCTTATTCCTTTAACCACCCCTCACAGAAGCCAGAGGTCAAGTTTCAGGTTTCTTTTCTCATGCCCACAAAAACAACAAAACCTTTGATCTTAGATTTTTGTAATTTAGACTATGTCTTCTACTGATATCTCCCTTTCGGTATGAGTGATGATGATAGGTTTTCTAAGGTAAAATCAGCACAACATACTCTCTGGATGTTCTTAGGAATCTAGAAGGACCTTGAGTATGAGTCTAGTGATGTCTATTTTCCAAGAACAAGCTTAGTTAAATTCAGAGAGGCTCATCACTAGGTTTTCTGCTACGGCAATGCTCAAAGTCTATCAAAAAAAAAGTCTTAAAAGAGGTTATGATCTGCATGGGGGAAGGAGTCATCCACAACAATAAAATTACAGATTGTTACACTGAAGAAGATTCAGTTTCCTGTGGAAAGGGTACAGTTTAGATACCTACAGGAATGGACCACCATCACCAGGCCACTGGAAGAATTCTAGTTGCCCCAGAGAACAACTGAAGCAACACCTTTTCCACAACTGGTAGAGATCAACTCCTGCCCACATCTGTCCTTGAAAGCATACAGATGGCTTCATGATGGGTATCTGTCCCCCTGTTTCTCATCCCAGCCCATCTTTCTCCTCTCTCCTACATGTACACCCCCCAATATAAAGGAGTAGCTGTGAGTCCAGAGCCTGTCAGCAGAGTAATGAGCCGGGTGACAAAAGGAGCCGCCACTGAGTGGAATCCCAGTTGTGTGCACCTGTACACACTCAGCCTAGGCAGATGGGCCCGTTATATGTTTAGAGCATATGATATCTTTTATAATGTCGTTCTTCATTCTCAGCCTCTTGAAAACCAACAGTTGTAGCAGAGAAATCCTGTGAGAGCCATGAACAGGTCCTAAAGTGCCAAGTTGTTATTTCTATGACCGGCAGATCCAGGGCACAAACCTACCTTCATTGGAACATTCTGAAAGACAAAATACATTTGGGGAGATGCAGCTCTCTTAATGTAGTCCAAGTTTCATTCTTGGACTTAGATATTCTCAGTTTTCATTTTTACCCAGTTCTGTTTTTTCAGTTTCCAAGAGTTCTTTTGCCTTTGTTATTCCAACAGTGTTTCTTGACACATGCCATTTGTTTTGCTTTTCTCAGCTGTGTTTTTAATACACACAGATACACACACACACACACACACACACATGCAAAGCAGAAGGCTCAGCATTTAAATAGTTTGTGCTGGGATGTGTTGAATGAAGAGAAAGAAATTGAATGACAGTTGATGTGTACTGCAGGTCCACTAGGAGAGCATTTCCTTTGGTGATCCCTGATCAAAAAGCCCTATTCATTGAGAAAAAAAGAGTAAGACCATTTCCTATGGAATAGGATAGAACAGAGACATAGTAGGTAGGTAGTATAGGAAAACTGACCTAGATGTGGCTTAAAATACAAATGTTGGCCTAGAAATGTTGTGGGTTTGGGTTTGGGTTTTGTTTGTTTTGTTTTTTTATTGAAGATGAAAGTTTCTTGAGTGAGTGATGACTGTATTTAAAGCTTATTTACTTAATCATCCTCTTTTGAGATGTGAGATAATTAGCCATTAAGTTTTTCTAAGGTATATTTTTCCTTTCAACTGTATGGTAGCTTCCAAAACCAGGCGGTAAGGCATCAAGCTGACCCCAGCACAGATAGAATGCTACTGGAAAAATGTGTCAGCTTGTTTGAGGCTATCTCCGACCAGCAACAAAACATGTCAAAGACACCATGGGAGTAAGAAATGAAGTTTATCAAGTTAGATACGTTGTCCTTCAGTACTTCTTTGCTATTCTCAGGAGAAAACACAGAGCTAGGTTGGGGCTTTGGTGAGATTTTGCTCAGCACATTACATTTAAGTGCTAGCTAGGAGTTTTGTGTAAAGCAAAACCATCATATTGCATATTTTCCAGTGAAGGATTAGACTTTCCATGGGAAATTTACATTACATCATAGAGATGGAAAAAAATGTGCATGGCCTAGTTATTGTCTAGCAAAGCAGATTCTTCACACGTTGCATTATGTGACATAGGCAAATGGATTCCAGTTGAATTTGTCTCAGGAGGAAAGACTGGAGGTGATGGGTACCCTTCAGTTATGTTCAATTGTTTTTTAGTCATGTTCAACTCTTTGTGACCCCATTTGGGGTTTTCTTGGCAAGACACTGGAGTGGTTTGCTGTTTCCTTTTCCAGCTCATTTTACAGATGGGGAAACTGAGGCAAATAGGGTGAAGTGACTTGCCCAGGGTCACACAGCTAGTAAGTGTCTGAGGCTGGATTTGAACATAGGAAGATGAGTCTTCCTGACTCCAGGGCTGATGCTTTGTGCACTATGGCGCCATCTAGCGACTAACCCTTAGGTTATATTTAATGGGAAAAGGGCTAGACTTGGAACCCAAGGACCAAGTACAAACCCTGTTTCTGTCACTGCCCATATGGTCCCAGGCTAGTCATTTAGCCTTTCTGGGCCTTAGTTTTCTCAGGTTAGACGAGGTGACCTAAGATCCCTTGTAGCTCTGACTCTATGATCCTATTAGAGAGGATGCATCTGGGGCTGGACCTACAGTTTCATCAATTTAAGTCGGCAGCTAGGAGGCACCATAGTGCATAGAACACAGGACTTGGGCTCAGATCTGGCCTCAGGTAGTTAACTGGCTGTGTGACCCTGGGCAAGTCACTTAACTTCTGTTTGCCTTAGTTTCCTCATCTGTAAAATGGGGATAATAATAGTGCCTATCTCCCAGGGTTGTAGTGAGGATCAAGTGAGATAATTGTAAAGCACTTAGCCCAGTGCCTGGCACATAATAAGCATCATATAAATGTTGGCTATTATCAAATCCTGCTGTGAAAAAATCCTTCCCTGACTATTCTGTGACTTGAAATCTTAGGTTTCCTGAATTACTGACAGTTAAAGGAATTTGTCCCAGACCACATGGCTATTATGTTATAAGGTCAGATTTGAACCTCCGTGCTGCCTTTAACCTTTGGAAAACAAAAGAGATCTAATTTCTGTGGATTGATTTTCTCTGCAGAGAGTTTTGTTTATCATATGACAGTGCTGAATTCTTGGACTTTTTTTCTTTTTGCAAGCCATCTAGCTCATTAGGTGTGGTCCTTATAGCAAAGAATATTTTTTAATATTACAAGGAGAGAACAAGATAGCGCATTCTTCATCTTCAAACTTTATCTATCAGTCTCTGAACAATGTTTGATGACTTGTTCAAGTTAGTAACAGAACTAAGCTACTTCTTGGTAAAGCATTTGAAATCCTATAAAGTAGATGAAAGATTTTCTGGAACTAAGAAAAGAGGGTTACCAGCCTACATATTTCTCTTTTCAGTGTCATTGACCTAGACAGGCTGATTTTAGAAATTACGAAGGGGCAGCTAGGTAGTGCAGTGGCTAGAGCACTGGCCCTGGAGTCAGGAGGACCTGAGTTCAAATGTGGTCTCAGACCAGATACTTGATACTTACTAGCTTTGTGACCCTGGGCAAGTCACTTAACCCCAATTGCCTTGCCAATTAAAAAAATATAAAAATTTAAAAAAAGAAATTACTTGAATACGGCCTAGTGTAAGAAGTCATTTCAGGAGAGGCAGGAGCCTTATTTCCCACTGGTCTCTTCAAGTTCTTCAGTTCTGTCATTTGCAGATAAATGAAAACAAAGATATTTAATA